GTCAACCGGATCGTTTTTCAACAAGGCGCAATTCCTGTGGAGAATCTGCCCTCCTGGGTGTCCAGTGGTTGACCCACCAAGAAAATGGTGAGGAGAAAAGTCCCTCACATGGGTACGAGGATGCATGAAAACTGTTGGTACGCTGGTGAGCACCAAAAATGGTTGGCAAATGGATGTTCAGAACCCTAGGCAATCTAAAGGTATTGATCCACAGCCCTGCGATAAGTAAGAGATATAATCAGACGGTGGCACCCCCTGGTAACCAAACATGGCTTGCTGGAAAACCACCCATTTAGTTCACCATGTTTGATTGCCCGAAAGATTGTCACAAGGATATTATGTGTAGTGAATAGCCAAGCAAAGTCTGCTGCGAAAATATGTGGGTCTGACGTTTTTGAAGGGAATGATATTGTGCCGCATGTGCCAGTACTGTCGGTCCAAGGTGGGAACAAGTTCTCGTGCCCAAACAATACATGGCACCTGGGAGTGTAAACTTACCTGTCCAAATCAATCAGTCGAGAACCATGACCTCTGAATGAGAATCAGCTAGAAATACCCTGGAGCAAATCAGCAAAACAAAATGCTGTATGGAAAAGCCGCCTTTTCCACAGGAACATGCTCTATACCATTACCATTGATGGATTTTCCCTCTACGTAATTTACCAGGTAGTGCCCGGCACCTGCCGGGCGGAAGTTTCGAACATAGGACATGGCTATAGGAAGCAGTTTGCTTATAGGAATTCTTGGTGAGTTGGAAAGGAGTGACTAATTGGAAATGAAGGATTCGAAATGACATGACATGAAATGAAGGGAAACGAAAATAATGAATGAATGAACGAATGAATGAACGAGTGAACGAACGAACGAACGAATGAAATGAATGAATGAAATGAATGAATGAAATGAATGAATGAAATGAATGAAATGAATGAAATGAATGAAATGAATGAATGCATGAAATGAATGAAATGAATGAAATGAATGAAATGAATGAATGAATGAAATGAATGAATGAAATGAATGAATGAAATGAATGAATGAAATGAATGAATGAAATGAATGAAATGAAATGAATGAATGAATGAATGAATGAATGAATGAATGAAATGAAATGAAATGAACGAAATGAAATGAAATGAAACGAAACGAAATGAAATGAAATGAAATGAATGAAATGAATGAATGCATGAATGAATGCATGAATGAATGCATGAATGAATGCATGGATGAATGCATGCATGAATGCATGAATGAGTGCATGAATGAGTGCATGAATGAATGCATGAATGAATGCATGAATGAATCCATGAATGAATGCATGAATGAATGCATGAATGAATGCATGGATGAATGAAATGAATGAAATGAATGAAATGAATGAAATGAATGAAATGAATGAAATGAATGAATGAATAAAATGAATGAAATGAATGAAATGAAGGAAATGAAGGAAATGAATGAAATGACATAAATAAATGAATGAATGAATGAACGACATGAAATGACATGAAATGAAAGGATTCGCAATGACTGAATGAATGAATGAATGTATGAATGAGTGAAAGAATGAATGAATGAATGAATGAATGAATAAGTGGATGAAAAAATGGATGACTGACATGGGATGACTAACATGACAGGAAACGCAATGAATCAATAAATCAGTGAATGAACGTATGAATGAATGAATGAATGGATGACTGACATGCAGGAAACGCAATGACTGAAGGAAGGACGGAATGAATGAATGAATGAATGAATGATTGAATGCAGGAATGAATGAACGAATGAATGAATGAACGAATGAATGAATGATCGAATGAATGAATGAAAGACTGGATGACCGACATAAAATGACATGACATGAAAGGAAACGCAATGACTGACTGAATGAATGACTGAATGAATGAATGAATGCATGAATGAATGCATGAATGAATGGATGAATGAAATGAAATGAAATGAAAATAAGATGAAATGAAATGAAATGAAATGAATGAGTGAATGAAATGAATGAATGAATGAATGAATGAATGAATGAATGCATGAATGAAATGAATGAAATGAATGAAATGAATGAAATGAATGAAATGAATGAAATGAATGAATGCATGAAATGAATAAAATGAATGAAATGAATGAAATGAATGAAATGAATGAAATGAATGAATGAATGAATGAATGTATGAATGAATGAATGAATGGATTAATGAATGAATGAATGAATGAATGAAATGAAATGAAATGAAACGAAACGAAATGAAATGAATGGCATGAATGAATGCATGAACGAATGCATGAATGAATGCATGAATGAATGCATGAATGAATGCATGAATGAATGCATGAATGAATGCATGAATGAATGAGTGAATGAATGAACAAATGAATGAATGAACGACATGAAATGACATGAAATGAAAGGATTCGCAATGACTGAATGAATGAATGAATGATTGAATGAATGAGTGAAAGAAAGAAAGAAAGAATGAATGAATGAATGAATGAATCAATGAATGAATGAATGATCCAATGAATGAACGACTGAATGAATGAACAAATGGATGTAAAAATGGATGACTGACATGGGATGACAAGACATGAAAGGAAACGCAATGAATCAATAAAGCAGTGAATGAACGTATGAATGAACGAATGAATGAATGAATAAATGAATGAATGAATGAATGGATGACTGACATGAAGGAAACACAATGACTGAAGGAAGGACGGAATGAATGAATGAATGAATGCAGGAATGAACGAACGAATGAATGAATGAACGAATGAATGAATAATCGAATGAATGAATGAATGGATGGATGAATGAATGAATGAATGAATGAAAGAATGGATGACCGACATGAAATGACATGAAATGAAAGGAAACGCAATGACTGAGTGAATGAATGCATGAATGAATGAATGAATGAATGAACGAATGAAATGAATGAAGTGAATGAAATGAATGAAATTAATGAAATGAATGAAATGAAGGAAATAATGAAGGAAATAATAAATGAATGAATGAATGAATGAACGAACGAACGAACGAATGAATGAATTAATGAATCAATGAATGAATGATTGAATGAATGAATGAATCAATGAATGAATGATTGAATGAATGAATGAATCAATGAATGAATCAATGAATGAATGAATGAATGAATGAATGAATGAACGAACGGATGACTCACCCGAATGACTGCATGAAATACCATGAAATGACATGAAATGACATGAAATGAAAGGACACACAATGAATGAATGAATGAATGAATGAATGAACGAACGAACGAACGAACGAACGGTCCCAAGAAAAGAGGCCCTTGCATCTGCACGGATTGAACGAGTATCAATATATGCGTTTCATTGCTCTTCAAAACGGCAATGGCTCTTTTTCCGTTTCATTGCTCATCTCGTGGCGACGCTGACAGTTCACCAAGGCACTGTAATTGGTGACACGGACGAAGATGCATTTTGATTGAATGCCCAGGATGCCTAAACCAAAGCTTCCATCCAAATAGGATTCGGGTCCTAAGCTGACAAAAACCTGGGAATTTGATCTGTATTGTAATTTTAATAAGAGGATTGGGTCACTGCGGACATACTGGAATCACAATGACCAATAAAACTGACTCACAATTATCAAAGGAAGTTTCGAAGTCAAACTCCCGACTTATGGACACGGCAGCAACAGTTTTGGGAAGAGCCAAAGAAGCGAGAGGAAGTAAAAGAAAATAGAAATGCGCGAAGTAGAAAAGTCTCGAAACACTGTGACATGGTCAAAAGCATTTCAGTTTCGGAGCACTTTTGGCGGTTGTGTTGCTAAACAGATGCGTGCACCAGTGGCGCGAAGCACATGTCCAAGCCAAAAAGTTAAAAGCATTTCAAAGCACCTCAGGATCGGAGCATTAGCTCCCATCTGCCGACCAGGTGCCATTGGAGCCTTGTCGTTTTGGAAATGCAGCTTCAAGATTCTGGCCGGTGCCCTCAACACCTCATGTCGAATGCCATCGGCATTGAAAACCTGGACAAATCACCTTACCCAACGCCCACAAATCAATGTTGTTGTGAGCAGTGTCTTGCAAATTCCCTCGGCAAATTGAGTTATAAAATGGTCCGCCAATATCCATTTGCCCAAAGCGAATGGCCATTTCCGGTCATCTTCCCACTGCTCACAATGTTCCTCCATGCAAGGGCACAAGGTGGGGTCCCCAAGAAACAACTAAGTTCGGTTTATGGTGGTTACAGTAGTCTATAGGCTCAAGAAAGCAACTGATAACTTTGGGGGGTGGCACCTGGCACCCCATGCTCGCACGTGAAGCAACCCTTCACCAAGGTTTACCGACATGCAAAAACATATCAGGGGTCAGATAAGGGGGGAGGAGTTGTGCAGAGGCTTTTGGTAGGTACAAAACGCAATGCATACGGTGCGCAACTACAAAATTCAGTGCATGGTACCTTTTTGCAGCTACAAAATGCAGAACAACCTTTTCTGACATGGAAAATAATTCAAAATCTGCACTACAAAATCCAATGCATCTGAAGCTAAAAAATAGCTGAAAATCGGAATTGCTAACATGATTTTTCCCAATGACATTTTGTAGTTGGGTCTATGCCATCCAACGTTCCGACCAACATAATTTCGGAAAACTTTTTGTAGTTGTCAATGATTGAATTTAGTTGGATCAAGTGTTGACCCCGTGCAGTTTGTTAGATGGCATTCTGTAGCTTCATGATCTGTTTGTGTCCATGTACATGTCCGCACTGTTTCCTTTTTTCCACCTCTTCTCACTTCACAACATATACAACTACAAAATGCGAATAAGGATTTGAAAGGAATCAACTACAAAATGAATGCAAATACAAAAAGGTGGTCCCAACTCCTCCTTTTTGTGCAAAACGACCCCTGGCTGGCATTCTGTACTGTAGCCCAAGACCTCCCCTTTATGTAGCTAAAATTTGAAGGAGAATAAAAACATTATTTTGCACCGTCAAAGCACCAATGCATCATTGCAGCCCTGGTTGGTGGTTGAGCCCCCGAAAAAAGATCGCTTCGGCTCTGGGTCCTGGGTATATACCTGCGAAAAAGATAGCTGAAAATCCAGCGATTACAGTCATTTCACACCAATGATTTCTTAATTTTGATAGTGTGCCTTATTTCACGGCGCGCCCATATCATATCATCATCCTAGGTCGAAGTTTACAATACTTGAGAAGGGGTGACACGAAAGGTAGGTGCGTCGCAGGGGGACGCGGGTGACCTTTTTGTCCCACGCAAAACACAGCTGCAGCAGCAGGAGCCATGGTATAGCTCTCCAAGACCCGCAGCAGCTCTGGTCTGTGTGTGCAAAGGAGTCTGTGTGTAAAAGCCTCTGTGTGTAAAAGCTTCTGTGTGAGAAAGCATCTCTGTGTAAAAGCTTCTGTGTGTAAAAGCGTCTGTGTGTAAAAGGGTCTGTGTGTAAAAGGGTCTGTGTGTAAAAGCGTTTGTGTGTAAAAGTGTCTGTGTGTAAAAGCTTCTGTGTGTAAAAGCACCTCTGTGTGTAAAAGCTTCTGTGTGTAAAAGCGTCTGTGTGTATAGGAGTCTGTGTGTAAAAGCCTCTGTGTGTAAAAGCTTCTGTGTTTAAAGGCTTCTGTGTGTAAAAGTGTCTGTGTGTAAAATGGTCTGTGTGAAAAAATGTCTGTGTGTAAAAGCGTCTGTGTGTAAAAGCGTCTGTGTGTATAGGAGTCTGTCTGTAAAAGCTTCTGTGTGTAAAAGCTTCTGTGTGTAAAAGCTTCTGTGTTGAAAAGCTTCTGTGTGTAAAAGTGTCTGTGTGTAAAATGGTCTGTGTGTAAAAGTGTCTGTGTGTAAAATGGTCTGTGTGTAAAAGTGTCTGTGCGTAAAAGCGTCTGTGTGTAAAAGCTTCTGTGTGTAAAAGCTTCTGTGTTGAAAAGCTTCTGTGTGTAAAATCTTCTGTGTGTAAAAGCTTCTGTGTTTAAAAGCTTCTGTGTGTAAAAGTGTCTGTGTGTAAAATGGTCTGTGTGTAAAAGCTTCTCTGTGTAAAAGCTTCTGTGTGTAAAAGCGTCTGTGTGTAAAAGGGTCTGTGTGTAAAAGGGTCTGTATGTAAAAGCGTCTGTGTGTAAAAGCGTCTGTGTGTAAAGGAGTCTGTGTGTAAAAGCCTCTGTGTGTAAAAGCTTCTGTGTGTAAAAGCGCCTGTGTGTAAAGGAGTCTGTGTGTGTAAAAGCCTCTGTGTGTAAAAGCTTCTGTGTGTAAAAGCTTCTGTGTTCAAAAGCTTCTGTGTAAAAGTGTCTGTGTGTAAAATGGTCTGTGTGTAAAAGTGTCTGTGTGTAAAAGCGTCTGTGTGTAAAGGAGTCTGTGTGTAAAAGGGTCTGTGTGTAAAAGGTTCTGTGTGTAAAAGCGTCTGTGTGTATAGGAGTCTGTGTGTAAAAGTTTCTGTGTTTAAAAGCTTCTGTGTGTAAAAGTGTCTGTGTGTAAAAGTGTCTGTGTGTAAAAGCGTCTGTGTGTAAAGGACTCTGTGTGTAAAGGAGTCTGTGTGTAAAAGTGTCTGTGTGTAAAAGCGTCTGTGTGTAAAGGAGTCTGTGTGTAAAAGCCTCTGTGTGTAAAAGCGTCTGTGTGTAAAGGAGTCTGTGTGTAAAAGCGTCTGTGTGTAAAAGGGTCTGTGTGTAAAAGCGTCTGTGTGTAAAAGCGTCTGAATGTAAAAGCGTCTGTGTGCAAAAGCGTCTGTGTGTAAAGCGTCTGTGTGTAAAAGTGTTTGTGTGTAAAAGCTTCTGCGTGTAAAAGCGTCTGCGTGTAAAAGCGTCTGTGTGTAAAAGCGTCTGTGTGTAAAAGCGTCTGAATGTAAAAGCGTCTGTGTGTAAAAGCGTCTGTGTGTAAAAGCGTCTGTGTGTAAAAGCGTCTGTGTGTAAAAGTGTCTGTGTGTAAAAGTGTCTGTGTGTAAAACTGTCTGTGTGTGAAAGCACCTGTGTGTAAAAGTGTCTGTGTGTAAAAGTGTCTGTGTGTAAAAGCGTCTGTGTGTAAAAGCGTCTGTGTGTAAAAGCGTCTGTGTGTAAAAGCTTCTGTGTGTAAAAGCTTCTGTGTGTAAAAGTGTCTGTGTGTAAAATGGTCTGTGTGTAAAAGTGTCTGTGTGTAAAAGCGTCTGTGTGTAAAAGCTTCTTCTCTGTTTTTTAAAAGTTCTGTGTGTAAAAGTGTCTGTGCGTAAAAGCGTCTCTGTGTAAAGGAGTCTGTGTGTAAAAGTGTCTGTGTGTAAAAGCGTCTGTGTGTAAAGGAGTCTGTGTGTAAAAGTGTTTGTGTGTAAAAGCGTCTGTGTGTGCTTAGAGCGACAGGAAGGAACAAGTGAATAACATGAGGATGATGGGGAGGAGGAGGAGGATGATGATGAGGATGCTGAGGCTGATGATGAGGATGAGGATGAATATGATAGAAAGATGATAGGAGTAACATGACGATGATGATGAGGAGGATGATGATGATGATGGCAAGGATGTGGAGGACGAGGAGGATGCGAACGATGGGGACGAGGAGGATGCAAAGGATGATGATGATGATGATGCTGACGATGATGATGATGATGATGCTGCTGCTGAGGCTGAGGCTGATGATGAGGGGGGGGAGGGGGGGGTCCCTTTCTCCTGGTCGTTCAGGGATAAGGGGTCCAGCCCGCCCCTTTGCTTCGCAAAGTAAAACTCAAGGTAGCCCGCTTGGAGGCTACCTTTCGTGATAAATGCACACCTTTCTGCCACTGCACCAGCACCCCCAAATGACCGAATCACCAAGGGACAAGGATCAACGAGCTCAAAAACTTTCGGCACCCATCTGTAGACAACGCAAGCGCTTGCTCCCTCGCAGTACCGCGGCAGCATGACCAGCTAATAAGGTGGAGAACAGTGTAGATAGAAAATCATGAAAGGAAATGCAGCATGAAACCGGATCCCAAAATGGGCTAATAACTTTTTATAACTTTTTGAACCATACCGCATTTGCTGACCAATTTTTTCTCAGAGTATTCTCAGAGTAAATGTAGCAAAATGTAGGGAACAACGTTTCAAGGAAATATTCTATCAGCCAAAGAAACTAGATTTTTCTATCATCAAAAAAGATAGTGGATAAGAAAACATGTCTTTCCCATGTTCGAACTTCTAATTACTAACCATCCAGGAACATGAGCCATTCGACCTCCATCATGGAAATTCATCTTGAAATGCATTGCAAGTGTGACATTGTATTCCCATGATTTCCCATGTAGTTCTCCATATAGATGGCAGGACATATAGTAGGTATTTCGAAAAACTATGCAAGCAAGAAACATCTGACTAGGCCTTGGCCTCCGAGGGGAATTGAACGCAGTGGGGCACCCCAATTTCGCATTTGGACACTCATATTCCACTTCATGCGCAAACGGTTTTTCTTTTAAACAAGCAGGGTTGCTCCCAGCACGCCGTGTAAACTACATGGGATGGAGATTGGTCAAATAAAGAAGTCAAATCATGTGAAAGCGGCAATCCCGACACCTTGTGACTCCTTTCCTAGTGAAGAAAACACATTTAGCACCCGGTACCCTGGTATTGGACGGATCTGTTCATGGTGGGATTCCATCCAGACCCTGTTGAGGGGATGACCTTTGGAGAGCTACCTTTAGATTACGTGCTGGTTCCATTGGAAATAATATTATAGCCTCCATCTATTCATTTCTATTCTAAAATACAAGTGTTTCGATATATCATTATACATCTACCATAAGTTGATTAACTTGCTTACAAAATTGTGTAAAATGACCTACTTAGCTAACTATGGGGTACCACATGGCACCACCGTGTAGGTTCCAGCAACCCTGACCATCCAAATGCAAACGCAACGAGCTGCGTACATGAAGTAGTTCACCGGCACTACCTAGGACTGTTCCAGAAAGCGGCAAGTCTCGGGAATTCCGCTGGAAGGTCAACGCGATCGTAGAATCAATAACCCCAAATGTTCGATGTTTACAACAAAAATCGGCGAAACTTGATATGGTTGACAATGGTTTACCATATCACCAGCCTCAAAATTCATGTGTTGGATAGCTGCAATGTCTGAATGAGGTTCGTAATCTCTCGCCAGTTTTCTGTGTGGTCCAGTAATCTCCCTAAACTACATCAAAATATGTTTTTTATTTCGGCAAGAGGTGGAAACAATATTAAATGATGCCATATGGTATGATATTTTTGGAAACCCGAGGAGTGCCGCAGATGACGGATGTTCTACCCATCTATTCGCGCATTGGAATGACAGTAGATTTTGACCTTAATCATCCTGTATCCATCACCGGAAAAATGTCAATGGAATTCCTAATGGGTGAGCCCCTGAAAAAAAAAAACTAATGTTAACCGGAACGCCGAGCCCCTCTACCGTCCCCCCAATTCCCAGAATTGGATCAAGGGAAACTCTACGGGAAAAAAACGCAAATGTTTTCCTTCACAAGGAAAAACATGCAAAACGGACATTTATATATATATAATATATATATATAATATATATATATATGACATATTATTATTATTATTATGATTATTATTTATTTATTATATATACATATATATACAGATCGTAGTGGATGATATTTCGAGGTGCTGGCGTCACATGGCGACTCGGCCGATCGCCGTCATCGATGTTCGGAAAAAACTGCGGCAGCCGCAAACGTGGCGACGAATTTCGAAATTGTCAAAAAACATGATGGGATTTCATGAGGTCTATCCTCGGTAAATAGAGTAACGCACAAGGCCGTGGCGGGCCGTGGCGGAAGTTTCAAAGATAGGAAACCTATAGGGGAGGTGAGTTGCTGTGATGCATGGATGGCAGAGCGAACCCATGCACTGATGATCCGAAACGTGGTTGGGGCTCAGAGTCTCTCTCTCTCTCTCTCTCTCCGCCTCTCCCTCTCCCTCTCGCTCTCCCTCTGATGCTCTCTCACTCTTCTATCTTCTCTCATCTCTCTTCTTTCTTCTCTCCTCCCTCTTCTCTCTTCTCTCTTCTCTCTTCTTCTCTTCTCTCTTCTTCTCTCTTCTCTCTTCTCTCTTCTCTCTTCTTCTCTTCTCTCTTCTCTCTTCTCTCTTCTCTCTTCTCTCTTCTCTCTTCCCTCTTCCCTCTTCCCTCTTCCCTCTTCTCTCTTCTCTCTTCTCTCTTCTCTCTTCTCTCTTCTCTCTTCTCTCTTCTCTCTTCTCTCTTCTCCTTTCTCTCTTCTCCTTTCTCTCTTCTTCTCTCTTCTTCTCTCTTCTTCTCTCTTCTTCTCTCTTCTTCTCTCTTCTTCTCTCTTCTTCTCTCTTCTTCTCTCTTCTCTCTTCTTCTCTCTTCTTCTCTCTTCTTCTCTCTTCTTCTCTCTTCTTCTCTCTTCTTCTCTCTTCTTCTCTCTTCTTCTCTCTTCTTCTCTCTTCTTCTCTCTTCTTCTCTCTTCTTCTCTCTTCTCTCTTCTCTCTTCTTCTCTCTTCTTCTCTCTTCTTCTCTCTTCTTCTCTCTTCTTCTCTCTTCTTCTCTCTTCTTCTCTCTTCTTCTCTCTTCTCTCTTCTTTCTTCTCTCTTCTCTCTTCTCTCTTCTCTCTTCTCTCTTCTCTCTTCTCTCTTCTCTCTTCTCTCTTCTCTCTTCTCTCTTCTCTCTTCTCTTTTCTCTTCTCTTTTCTCTTCTCTTCTCTCTTCTCTCTTCTCTCTTCTCTCTTCTCTCTTCTCTCTTCTCTCTTCTCTCTTCTCTCTTCTCTCTTCTCTCTTCTCTCTCTCTCTCTCTCTTCTCTCTCTCTCTCTCTCTCTCTCTCTCTCCTCTCTCCTCTCCATCTCGTTCTTGACCTCTCTCCCCATCTTCATCTCTTCGTCTATCCCTATCTCTATCTCAATCAATCTCTATCTATGTTTATCTATCTCACTAACCATCTCTATCTATCTATCTATCTAACTATCTATCTATCTTTCTATCTATCTATCTATCGATCTATCTATCTATCTATCTATCTAATCTATCTATCTATCTATTTATCTATCTATCTATCTATCTATCTATTTGTCTATCTATCTATCTATCGATCTATCGATCTATCGATCTATCGATCTATCGATCTATCGATCTATCTATCTATCTATCTATCTATCTATCTATCTATCTATCATCTGTCTATCTATCTATCTATCCGCTCTATCCTCTCTATCCTCTCTATCCTCTCTATCTATCTATCTATCTTTCTATTCTATTCTATTCTATTCTATCTATCTATCTATCTATCTGTCTATGTTTCTATCCATCTATCTATCTATCTAGCTAGCCAGCTACCTGTCTATCTGTCTATCTGTCTATCTGTCTATCTATCTATCTATCTATCCACCTATGTGTCTATCTATCCTATCCTTCCATCTACACATGTATCTATCTGTCTATCTCTCTATCTATATCTATCTAGTTTTTTCTATCTCTATGTATCTCAATCCTATATCTATCTTCTTTTTCGGTCTATCTCTAAATATCTCTAAATATCACAATCTATCCCTATCTATCTCTACCTATCTCTATCTAGTTCGGTCTATATCTTTCCAAATCTTTCTACTTCTAACCCTATCTATCTATCTATCTAGCTATCTATCTCCCTATCTATCTATCTATCTATCCTCTCTATCCTCTCTATCCTCTCTATCCTCTCTATCCTCTCTATCCTCTCTATCCTCTCTATCTATCTATCTATCTATCTATCCACCTATGTGTCTATCTATCCTATCCTTCCATCTACCCATGTATCTATCTGTCTATCTCTCTATCTGAGCGATTGTGAAAACCCTAGGTTCACGGAAAGGACATCCACAAATTTGGGAAGGTCCCATCGCTTACCACACGTTTGTAAAATAATGATATATGGTAAACTTGGGGGGTATCGCTTGCAGGAAACTGCTGCATTTATATATATATATATATATATGTGATGAACTATGAATAATATGTGATATTTGGGTATCGCTAATGTGGATATTAGAGAAATATGATGACATAACCTTGAAAAGGGGTATCGCTAATTTGGGAAGGTCCCATCGCTTACCTCGTGTTTTTAACATTTTCCATCAATTTCCATAAACCAATGTCCGTCGAATACATATTTAGTATTGCCGGGTTTTTTACGGTTGCTCATCTATATCTATCTAGTTTTTTCTATCTCTATGTATCTCAATCCTATATCTATCTTCTTTTTCGGTCTATCTCTAAATATCTCTAAATATCACAATCTATCTCTGTCTATCTCTACCTATCTCTATCTAGTTCGGTCTATATCTTCCCAAATCTTTCTACTTCTAACCCTATCTATCTATCTATGTATCTATGTATATATCTATCTATCTATGTATCTATGTATCTATGTATCTATGTATCTATGTATCTACCTATCTATCTATCATCTGTCTATCTATCTATCTCTCTATCCTCTCTATCCTCTCTATCTATCTATCTATCTTTCTATTCTATTCTATTCAATTCTATTCTATTCTATCTATCTATCTGTCTATGTTTCTATCCATCTATCTATCTATCTGTCTATCTATCTATTTATCTATCTATCTATCTATCTATCCACCTATGTGTCTATCGATCTATCGATCTATCGATCTATCTATCTATCTAACTATCTATCTATCTATCTATCTATCTAATCTCTACCTATCTCTACCTATCTCTATCTAGTTCGGTCTATCTCTTTCCAAATCTTTCTACTTCTAACCCTATCTATCTATCTATCTATGTATCTATGTATCTATCTATGTATCTATCTATGTATCTATGTATCTATCTATCTATCTATCTATCTATCCACCTATCTAGGAATCTATCAATCCACCTGCCTATCTATCTTATTATCTGTATTTGTATCTATCCTCCTATCTATCTTTCTTTCTTTCTATCTATTTCTCTGTTATCTCTACCTATTTCTACCTAGCTCTATATGTATCTATCTTTCTGTCTCTATCACTATCTATCTATCTATCTATCCATCCATCTAATCTAATCCAATCCAATCCAATCCAATCTAATCTATCTGTCTATCTATATCTGTCTATCTGTCTCTATTTCTGTCTATTTCTATCTATCTCAATCTATTTCTATCTATGTTTGCGTGTATCTATCTCTATCTATATGTCTCTATTTCTGTCTATTTCTATCTATCTCAGTCTATTTCTATCTATTTCGGCCTATCTCTATCTATCTCTTTCAATCTCTATCGATCTCTTTCTAAATCTAACTATATCTATCTATCTCTATCTATCGTATCTATCTCTAATAATCTCTGCCTATCTCTATCTATCTCTATCTCTATGTATCTCTATCTCTCTCTATCTCTATCTCTCTCTATCTAAATCTAACTATATCTGTCTATATCTTATCTATTTCTCTCTATCTCTATCTATCTTTATCTATGCTTTTCTTTTTCTATTCATTTCTATCTATCTCTTTCTTCGGCTATCTATGACTCAAAATCTCTATTTAAATCTATAATTCTACCCATTTGTATCTATCTGTATCTATCCCTACCTAACTCTATCTGTCTCTCTCTTTTTTCTATCCATCTCTTTCTATTTCTGCCTATTTCTATCTAACTCAATCTACGTCTATCTATCTCCATCTATCTCTCTCTCTCTCTATTTCTATCTTTCTCTATCTACCTCCATCTATCTCTATCTACCTCTGTCTATCTCTATGTACATCTACCTCTGTCTATCTCTATGTAGATCTATCTATACGTATCTATTTTTTCTACCTCTATCTATCTCTAGTCATTTCTAAAATATCTAGCTATCTCTATCCCTATCTATTTCTCTCTACCTCTATCTATCTCTACCTGTCTCTATCTATTTTCATCTACCTCTTTCCAGATCTATCTATTTCTATCTATCTTTATCCTTCTTTCTACCTAAATCTATCTCTCTCGAACTATCCCTATCTATCTCTACATGTCTCTATCTATCTATCTCTATCTATCTCTAGTTCTACCTATTTGTATCTATCTGTATCTATCTCTACCTCTCGTTCTATCGCTTTCTATTTCTATCTATCTCTATCTATCTCTACTTATTTCTAACTTTTTCGGTCTATCTATCTCCATCTATCTCTATCTATCTCTGTCTATTTCTTTCTATCCCTATCTCTCTCTATCTATGTCTAACTGTCTCTATCTCTATCTCTATCTGTTTATACGTATCTCTATGCATCTCTATCTATGTCTATCTATTTCTATCTGTCTCTATCTATCTCTATCTGTATCTTACTACCTCTAGCTCTATCTTTTTCTCTCTATCTCTTTGCATCTCTATCTATCTCTATCTATTTCTCTCTATCTCTATCTATCCCTATCTGTATCTCTACCTCTATCTATCTCTCTCAAACCAACTCCATCGAATCCATTATATGAGTGGGAAGACGGAATGTTTTCATTGTGATAGCGAAAGTTGCCATCAACAAACTTCGTTCAGCAAGTCATGTGTTGTGCTGCATAGAAGGCCCGCACACGAGGCATTATACCGGCCCGCTGATATCAGAACCTTGTTTGGCGATGTTGCGTTTTTCTTTAACTTGCATTCTTTGACGGGACTGAAGCCCGAAATCCTCAGACTACCTTTTGCAGGCACCCCCTGTGGTTCTTGAATTTCACTGTCCACTGGCCTCGC